AGTGGAACTTTTACCAAATTGTTTGTTCCGCAAATATGACCAGAAAAAACAACCAGAGAAAATGGGAACAGAGAATTTATGGAGCCAGAGCAGACATCCACCCACGCCTTGGGCTGTAAATCAATCTGAGGCAGCTGCAACCCCATCTCCATCTGGCCATTAACCGAGTGGCAAACGTCGACCATTGATGCACCCACAAAGCACAAAGGGAGCACCGCAGCGGCTTAGGCTTTTGCTTTTGCTTTTGCTTGCACAGTCAGCACTTTCCAAATGCATAATGCAGGAAAAAAAGGGAAAACCAGAGCCTGGGTGAGCGGTAGAAGGATTTCCATGTAGTATGTGGTGCACGCACCATTTAGTGCGGCAGAGCCCGGGAAGCTGAATCGGCTTATAGGGACCAAGGGACAAGGGGACACTGGGACCAGGGCAGCCGCCGGCATTAGAAACTTTACTCATTACGGTGGCAGCCGCAGTCGCCAGACCGCAGCAAAGGAGCAAGAATTGAAAGCAGAAAGAAGGGAAGCAAAAAGAATAAGTAGAATCCGGGGCAATCCGTAGTCCCTAGTCCGTAGTCCGGGGCGGAAGGGTGTGAGAAAAGCAACGCTAAAAGTGAAAAACTATGTTGAAAGATGGCAAGCGGTGTGTGTGGGGGGGCGGGGCATCTCACTAACAAAAAGTGAGCGAAAACCGCTGAAAGACCTCCGCCACTTCCCTCCACATCTGGAGGCAGCCACGCTGAAATCCGCCTAAGTTGTGGGTAATGCTGGCGTAAAACAAAAGCTTATCCTGTTACTGCCACCCCGCTGCAGCTTCTCCTCCTTCTCCTTCTCCTTCAGCTGCTGGCTAAAAAGGCTAACCACGGAAATACATTGCCATACGCCGCACAGCATGTGGCGGCGGGGGGCCAAAACCAACAAAAACTTTAGCAAAATGCGGCGACATCAAGTGGAGACTAAAGGTATACCCTGACTGTAAAGTGCAGCATAACGAAATCAAATCAGATGAATCAAAGAAGTGCTTAAAAATGTTCAAGTCGAAGATATTTAGAGATTGAAATTAGTAAACATAATCTCAAAACATAAATCCCATCTCTAGCAACCTCCCTCACATACCCTACACTCCCACACAAAAAGGAAAGCAAAGCAAAAAAGAGCAACCACAACGTGGCAGCGGGGAAAATATATACTCCTGGCAGGTTCCTGGCAGTGGCCCAGCGGCAGTGGCTACCAACTACGAGAAGTACTACCAAAACTCAGCCACTGATAGTGGCAGACTTTTGGCACAGCATGGTAGGGCACTGCTTGTGGTGCAACAGGGTGTATTATGGTCGTTAAGTTATTACCTTGAACGTCGCCTCCGTCTCCGTCTCCGTCGCCATCGCCGTTGTCGTCGCCATCGTCACCCCGCACAATGCCAAAGTTTACACAGGCGAAAGTTTCCGCGAGGATTCAGAGCATTCCTTGTGCTGGCAGACACAGAATGTGAGGCATGAATTGTTGTTAATGCCATTCCCCCCCCCTTCCTCCCACAATTTTACTGCCAGTCAGAGTTTGAGAGCGCGACGCGGATTTTCCTTTGGCGTAGCAAACAAAAAATGTGCACTAAGAATTCGCGGTGGGAGGACACCGACATACAGACATCTAGGCAAAGAAAGGGGAAATAAACTGGCTGCCATTTTTATTAGACAACGCGGTCATTTTTAACGACTCCTCGGAAGCGTCGCCGGCTCTGGCATTATGGTAATTAAAATGTGTAAATTCCTAGAAAATATCTTGATTGTTTCCTCGCTTTGTGTCTCGCGGAATAACTGCACCACGGAATCTCACAAATTTAGCCTTAAGATTGTCGTCTCTTGTTTCAAATTAATTTGCACTTTCTTACTGAAAGTAAGAATTAAAAGGAGCACGTTCCACAACGCACTTGAAACTTGAAACTGATGCACTTCTTCTTGCCTATTTCATCATGCGTTTTATATTCTTGTTGTGTGCAAAGCAAACGTAGATCAAACGAATGGGTTAGAGCGGGATAACTATTGTATGCAGTGTGGGTTAGAGCGGGACAACTATGTTCGCGATCTACGGGACTTTCAACTGGTTTCACGCTCTCTTCAGCTCCTCTCATTCTGTGTTTGTTGTGACAAGTCGTAAGCAAGGAAAACAATTTACAAACAATTGACAATTTATTTGCAGAAACAATGTGGATTTGGCGCCAGGAGATCGTTACGTGCGCATTGCGTTTGCTGAGGCAGCCAAGGAGATTGATCTGGCCATCAACAACACTTTGGACACACTCTTTTCGAACCGCTCGTCCGGTGCCTCCGGGCAGCCGAACTATGGGGAACTGCTGCGTGTGTTCCGCTTCCCAACGGGCGAGGCCCGGCAACTGGCGCGTGCAGCGGAGATCTATGAGCGCACCCTGGTCAACATCCGGAAGCACGTGCAGCGGGGAGACAACCTGAGCATGAGCAGCGAGGAGTACGAGTTCCGGGACCTGCTCTCCAGGGAGCATCTGCATTTGGTGGCGGAGCTATCAGGCTGCATGGAGCACCGGGAGATGCCCAACTGCACGGACATGTGCTACCACTCGCGTTACCGCAGCATCGACGGCACGTGTAACAATCTGATGCATCCCACATGGGGTGCCTCCCTGACTGCGTTCCGCCGCCTGGCGCCACCCATCTACGAGAACGGATTCAGCATGCCCGTGGGCTGGACGAGGGGCCAGCTGTACGCCGGCCATCCTAAGCCCAGCGCCAGGCTGGTGTCCACCTCTGTGGTGGCCACCAAGGAGATAACGCCCGACAGCAGGATCACGCACATGGTGATGCAGTGGGGCCAGTTCCTGGACCACGATCTGGACCACGCCATACCCTCGGTGAGCTCCGAGAGCTGGGACGGCATCGACTGCAAGAAGAGCTGCGAGATGGCCCCGCCCTGCTACCCCATCGAGGTGCCGCCGAACGATCCGCGCGTGAAGAACCGCCGCTGCATCGACGTGGTGCGCTCCAGCGCCATCTGCGGCTCCGGTATGACCTCGCTCTTCTTCGACAGTGTCCAGCACCGCGAGCAGATCAATCAGCTGACATCCTACATCGACGCCTCGCAGGTGTACGGCTACAGCACGCCCTTTGCCCAGGAGCTGCGCAATCTGACCGCCGACGAGGGCTTGCTCCGTGTGGGCGTGCACTTCCCCAAGCAGAAGGACATGCTGCCATTTGCCGCGCCGCAGGACGGCATGGACTGCCGCCGCAATCTGGACGAGAACACCATGAGCTGCTTCGTCTCCGGCGACATACGCGTGAACGAGCAGGTGGGCCTCCTGGCCATGCACACCATCTGGATGCGGGAGCACAATCGGCTGGCCACGAAGCTCCGCGAGATCAATCCCCACTGGGACGGCGACACGCTCTACCAGGAGGCGCGCAAGATCGTCGGCGCCCAGATGCAGCACATCACCTTCAAGCAGTGGCTGCCCCTGATCATCGGCGAGAGTGGCATGCAGCTGCTCGGCGAGTACAAGGGCTATAATCCGCAGCTGAATCCGAGCATTGCCAATGAGTTTGCCACGGCTGCCCTGCGCTTTGGCCACACCATCATAAATCCAATTCTGCACCGCCTGAACGAGACCTTCCAGCCCATACCGCAGGGTCATCTGCTGCTCCACAAGGCTTTCTTTGCCCCCTGGCGGCTGGCCTACGAGGGCGGAGTGGATCCCCTGCTGAGGGGCATGCTGGCGGTGCCTGCGAAACTGAAGACACCCGACCAGAACCTCAACATGGAGCTCACGGAGAAGCTGTTCCAGGCCACGCATGCGGTGGCCCTCGACCTGGCCGCCATCAACATTCAGCGGGGACGAGACCACGGCATTCCCGGCTACAATGTCTACCGCAAGTTCTGCAATCTGAGCGTGGCCCAGGACTTTGAGGAGCTGTCGGACATCAGCGATGCAGGAATCCGGCAGAAGTTGAAGGAGCTGTATGGGCATCCGGACAACGTGGACGTGTGGCTGGGCGGCATTCTGGAGGATCAGGTGGAGGGCGGCAAGGTGGGTCCGCTCTTCCAGTGTCTGCTCGTCGAGCAGTTCCGTCGCCTGCGCGATGGCGATCGCTTGTACTACGAGAATCCGGGCGTCTTCCTGCCCGAGCAGCTCGTCCAGATCAAGCAGTCCAACTTCGGACGTGTCCTGTGCGATGTGGGCGACAACTTTGATCAAGTCACCGAGAACGTGTTCATTCTGGCCAAGCACCAGGGCGGCTACAAGAAGTGCGAGGACATACCCGGCATCAATCTCTATCTGTGGCAGGATTGCGGCAGCTGCAACAGCCTGCCCGCCATCTTCGACTCTTACATTCCCCAGACGTACACCAAGAGGAGCGGTCGCCAGAGGCGAGACCTGCGACAGCAGGAAGATGTGCAGATCCCAGCCACTGAGAGCTACGATAGTCCCTTGGAGGCCCTCTACGATGTGAACGAGGAGCGTGTCAGTGGCCTGGAGGAGCTGATTGGCAGCTTCCAGAAGGAGCTGAAGAAACTGCACAAGAAGCTGCGCAAACTCGAGGACTCTTGCAATGCCGTGGATGCCGAGCCAGTGGCGGCTCAGGTGGTGCAGCTGGCCCCAGCGCCGGTCCCCGTTGCCCCGAAGCCCAGGCGCAGCCACTGCGTGGATGACAAGGGGACAACGCGGCTGAACAATGAGGTGTGGTCGCCGGATGTGTGCACCAAGTGCAACTGCTTCCACGGCCAGGTGAACTGCCTGCGGGAGAAGTGTGGGGAGGTGAGCTGCCCTCCCGGAATCGATCCTCTGACACCGCCCGAGGCCTGCTGCCCGCACTGCCCGATGCCCGTTAAATGAGAGCTGCCGTAGAATATGCATATCGAAGTACCGTTACGTACACGTTTATCCGTAGTAGCCACAATACAATCCACAATCTACAATCCACAATCTACACTCTAACCAAACATCGCGCACAGAAGAGAAAAACGAGCAAATTTAATTGCAAATTGACAAGAAATTAACTAACAAATGTAACTGTAACTGTGCTGCTACACCATGTAATAAAATAAAGCACAGTAATATCCACATTAATCTTTAATCTTGACGTACTTCATGTGCGTACCCTTGGCTATCACGGTGTCGTCCTTCTTGTGGCGCAGCGTGCACTCGATGAAGGCCAGGTACTTGCCAATCTTGGAGATGTTCGCCTCAATGACCACCTCGTCGCCCACTCGCGCCCCGTTCAGGTAGTTCACATTGATGTCCACCGAGACGCCCGGATGACAGGGCTTGGACATCAGGGCATATGTGGTTATCATGTCCACCAGGGTGACAATGTAACCGCCATGCAGTCCATTGTAGGGATTCACGTGATCAGCGTCAACTTTGAGCTCCGCTTGACAAGTGCCATCACCGCCACCGAGGATCGTCACCTGACACCAAAGAGAATCGAATTAATTATGAAACAAATTTTTGCTGGGGCAATTCTAACCTTTTTTAGGTGACTTTCAAATCCCGTTGACTTGGCAATGATCTCTGAAATATGTTTGGCAAAGTCCAGACCCTTCTTGCGGGTTCCCATGGCGCTGATGAATGTTCCTCCAATGACAAGCGGAGAGCGTCTAAAATAATTCGAGTGCTGCAAAATGATTTTGGCGTTGATCGTCGATGAGAAAGAGACAATAGATAGAAGGGCGTACGAGTATCGATGGGGCCCCAGATTGGAACTATATCTTATTGTTCAGAGGCACTTGAGCCTCAAGTACAGCCCAGACAAAGTGAACCTACCAATCTCGCTTAGCCCAGGGAATTGACTAACTTACTTCGATTCGATGTGATGTTACTCGTCGAGTGTAGTTTTCCGTTTTGCGGTTGCAGCAAATACCGAGCGATAAGCCACTTTATGGAAAATAAAAGCCAGCACGTCACTTTGTGACCTCAGGAACATTATATTTTCAAAACAGCACGAACTGCAATCCAAATCAAATGAATAACTGCATTGCATGGACTGTTTTATGCTGGAATGCCGAAAACAGCTGCTGACCTATCGATAGGCCAAATCACTTGAAGTTTATATATCGGTACGTTGCCAAATGTTTTTATTTAAATTTCTTTCTAATAATTAAGTTTCACCTTGTCGAAATCAATGTACTTGACTTGTCTGCCGGTGGCGATAATGCTTTTGTCCGATTGGCGCTTCAAGACTATATCCAGATACGCCATTTTGCGACCTGCTCGCACAGTTCTGGCATCTATTTCCACAATCTCTCCGAGCTTTGCGACCGACAAGTAGCTGACATTCAGATTGGCAGTAACACCCGGATGTGATCCCCTCGACATCATCGCGTAGGTACTAATGTTGTCCACGATTGTGCCCGTTAGGCCGCCATGCAAGATTCCCTGGTGGTTCAGGTGCTCCTTCTGCACAGTAAACTCCCCAAAAGCTCTTCCATCGCCACCGCCTGTGATTTTAACCTGCATAATGTTAAATTTGCGAATTTAGATTATCGTGTGTGCTCCATTGCATTTCTCACCATTTTAAGAACGCGATCGAAGCCACCCTTGTTGGCGACGTACTCGGATATTTGCTTGACGAAATCCACTCCGAGTTTGCCAGACATTGTATCAGCGGAGCTTGCTGTTCCTTGCGCACCAAACACTGGCACTGAAATGATAACAGTTACTGGAACAAGTGGAGCAGACAGCGGTTAAAATTATGAAAATGGTGAGTAGTGATACGAATGCAGTTCGGCTTTTATTTCGCATTTGTTTTGCTCGCTCTATACGCCTGCGATGTTTCACACATGAGAAATTGTTCAACTACGTCGGATACCCTGTACCTTCTTCTAATTTTCCAAAAATATACAAAGCTGCAATCCAAATAAATAACTGCATTTAATGTCACTGGCAAGCTGTTGTCCTATCGATAGACCAATCGAATCATCGGTACTTTGCCAAATGGTTTTATTGAAATTCTTTGTGCCTTACTAATGACAAGTTTCAAGTTTCCTTCTCAAAGTCAACGTACTTGACTTGCCCCCCGCTGGCGATAATTCTTCCATCTGATTTGCGCCTCAAAACGCAATCCAAGTAAGCCATTTTGCGACCTGCACGCAATGTTCTAGCATCTATTTCAACAACCTCTCCCGGCTTGGCGGCCGACATGTAGCTCACATTCAGAGTGGCTGTAACGCCCGGATGTGATCCGGCTGACATCAGTGCGTAGGTGGTAACGTTGTCCACAATGGTGGCTGTCAGACCGCCATGCAATGTCCCCTGGCGGTTTAGATGCTCCTTTTCCACAGTAAACTCTCCAATGGCTCGACCCTCGCCGCCACCAGTAATTGTAATCTGCAAGTGTTAAAATACGCGGTCAACTATCGATACACCAGCAGAGTTATGTAATCGGCCGCTCCAGCTGTTTTGCCATTTTCGGCGCGGCGTTTCTGATAATTGGCTGGAATTGTTTGAACTTTTCTTTGAATTTCTCACCATTTTAAGAACTCGATCGAAGCCTCCCTTGCTGGCAGCGTACTCGGCCACCTGCTTGACGAAATCCACACCTCGCTTGCCCGACATTGTACCAGTGGAGGTGGAGCTGCCTATTCCTTGCACACCGAAAACTGAAACCGAAATGACAAAACAGAATGAATCGAGCGTCGCAGCAGAAACTGGTGAGTGTGTATTGGTGTGATACACACATGTCATGCCATTTTACGACTGCGTGATGTGACGCGGCTGTTTATTCGCTTTTGTTTTGCTCGCACTGTACGCCTGAGAATCTTTACAGGTACATCGGCGGATACCCTGCGATTCCGTCAACTGAGTAAGGGAGAAATCAAGCAGGACTCTCTGCGGGAATTCGTGTCCTACACAGCCAATGGGGACCACATCACGCTGGTGGGCACCAAGACGGATGTGATCACCCTGGAGATGACCAGCAAGGCCAGCTGCCATGTGCTCTTTCCGTTCGTCGTCAGCTCCCTGGAATCGCCCCTAAATGATCGCCCACTGGACATTTTGCAGACAGGAATCAATCTTGTGGAAGTCTATGAAAGCTGCCATGTGCTGGAGGCGCAACAGTTGTCCCTAGAGCCGGTTTACATGACCATTTGTTCCACAGAAGTGCCAGAGTCCCGACTGGTTTGCTCCCGCTGGTCGCCGCAGACCCTACCCAATGGACAAATGCTGTTGGCCGCCTTGAACACCTATGGAGCCATAGCACTGCTGTGCAAGCCCGCGCAACACAGTCGCTGGAGTCGACTGGATGGCCTGAATGTGGCCGAAACATTGCGGGACACACTGCTGCCCGAAAGGAATGTCTCCAAGATACACAACTTCAAGCAGTACAAAGCTTGCATAGATCGCGCCTGGATCACGATGTTTACATGGCGCGAAGCGGCGGAGTCCAGTGCCGGACATGTCCTCGTCTTGGGCACAGCCAACGGCAACCTGTGGAGACTTACTTTGAGTTCAGATGCCCGAACCTTGCTGCAACATCGCGTGAAGGCCACCTCTCTGAGCCGCATCTGCTACATGCTTGCCTTCGAGGATCTGCTGCTGGTGGGCGACGTAACTGGCGTTGTCCATCTCTACAAATTCAACAATGAGGAACAATCCGGACTGTCTCTGATACGGCCTTTGTGGGAGAAAGCGGATCGCATGGGACTTCAGCAGGCGATAATCACGCGCTGCACGGAGCTGGACTGCTACTACATATCCCTGTGCAAGGCGGCACATCTGCTAGTTTGGTGCATGCCCTGCCAAGAGGCGGGCAACGAGTGGCTGGAGACGCGCATCCATGTGGGAGGCATGAAGATCACTGGCCTCTGCATGCTGGACAGCAGCAGCTTGGCACTGGCCACCGCCACAAGCAAGCTGTACCGAACGCACATCTCCCAAGAGGACAGAAAACTCACTGTGTCCCTGCAGTCGATAGTTTTGGAGGACTGTGAAGACTACCAGATCATTGGGGTGTTCAGCAGCAGACACAACAATCTGCTCACACTGCTCTTTCAGCCGAACAAGGAGTATGCCGGCAACACGTACACAATGTCAGTGCGCAATCAGCTCACGTTGCGCGTGGGTAAGATCCATGACAGGGATATACTGTCCCAGCTGGTGGACACCTTCCAAGCCAATACGCCCATCGACCAGAGTACGGATCTGCTGGCCGAGCTGCGTCTGGAGATCTTTGCCAGCATTAATAACCTGCAGAAATACGCGGACTTCAATCGATTGTCGGAGTTCCAGTTCGACAAGGAGCCGACGGAGTCGCAACAGCATCAGCTGCAACTGAAGTATCACATCCTGTCGTCTGTTCTCCACCTGCGTTCGAATCTGGTGTGGCTGACGCTGCACCGGGATGAAACGCAGAAGGAAATGCAGCTGCTGCTGGCAATGCTGGTCATGACACATATGAGCCTGAGACTGAGGTACCTGTGCTCTCTGGGAACACTGACGCCGTTCCAGCAGGAGGCCGCGCAGTGTATGTTTGCGGAGGCGCTGCGCTTGAGGAAGCTGCTGATGGAAGACTCACTCAAAGGCAAAAACTCTGCCGACACGCAATACTCAGCGGAGAGGAAAGACTCGCGCGACAGGCATTGCTTCCAGGAGGAGTTTGCTCAACAAATGAAACGACACTTTGATGCCTTGCAGGCCAAGCTGGGCAATGGAGTGAAGACAATGCCAGCGCAAGAGCCAACAAAGCTTCGGTGCTGTGTGTCCTATCTGGAGGTGGGTTTTTTTGCCCTATTGTTGGTTTCCTTATTAATGTGGAACTCTCTTTTGAAGCTGCCATTCAGCCTGGATCGACGCTACTGCAGTCAGTGTTCTCGTGCTGTGCTGATGGACCAGGAGAAGCTGCTGGAGCTGTATGAACCAGGCGTTACACTGCTGTGTCCCTGCTGTCACGGTGGCTATGCAGTGGATCTCGTAACTGCTTAAACATTAAATTTATTAAGTAAATTCCATCGAGGGACTGGCGTGTACGTGTGTGTGTCCGTCTCTGGCAGCCTTCATCCGCTCTGCCTTTGCTCCACTGCCAAATGCCGACACACACTCACACACGGCCAGGAAAGTGTTTATGGTTAAGGGTTAAGTTAATACAGTGAAACGTAAATAATTGGACTGGTTTCGAGCAAGAGTATGTCCTGCTCCACCTGTCGCAATTCAGTCTCTAGCTTGCCCTTGCGCTGCACCTTGGCCACGCTGTCGATGAGCAGCGACATGGATTGATATTGCTTGGTCTTCTCGCCGAGACTCTGACGCAGTCCTTCGATGATTTCGTTGCGCTCCTTTTGGTCCATGACCCGCATGCCAGGAACCTCCGGCGGAGCATGGGCAGCACCGGGGCTGGTGGTGGTGGTTCGCGCGTGTCCCTTGACGCCGCGACAGAGCTCCATGAGGCGTGCCCGCTCCTTGTTACAGATGGTGTTCATCTCGGTCAGCATCTTCTTGGTCTTCTTCAGGTAAATGGGCACCTTGCCAAAGTCCTTGCGGCAGATGAATTGTGGCAGCAGGCCAGAGTTCAGCAGATTGTGTCGAGTACCCACCGGCGTGTCAATGTAGCGCGGCGGCGGAGGACAGGGCACAGTCTGTTTGGCGCATTGGATGTTCCGCCGTATGAAATTCGGCACCATTATCGGCTCCTGGCGCTTGCTACCGATGCCTGGCAACGGCGGCATCTTCTCACCCTTGGGACAGACGTGAGTGTTCTCGCGGCGCCACTTGATGCCCTGATTCTTGCGCAGATAGGCGCACGGCGGATCAATGGGTGTGTGGGCGCAACCCATGGTGCGATGATGCGCCTTCTTGGCATCCGTCAGCAGTCGCATGCCATCGTTCTGCATGATAACCGAATGCTTCTTATCCTCCACATCCAAGCGGTCGCGCAGAGACTTGGCAAATCGTGCGCCCTTCATAGCAGTTGCTGCAAATGCACAGATTAAGGGGGAGCTGGCTTTTCGTGTTCTTTATTCCTTACCTGTATTGTAAACCCTGGAGGGCTTGCTGACCTCTTGGTTAATGTACTCCTGCTCACAATCAAAGATGTTCTCATCGTGGTGCGTGATGTAGACCAGCGACATGATTAGTTAACAAAATAAATGCCTAGAAAAATGTAAAGTTCCACAAAAGTGACCGACAGACTTTTACTATTTTATTTTCGAATTCTGTTCCTGTTGCCAAGGCAGTCTTTGTTTTTCAGCAAAAACACAATTGTTGTTGCGTTGCTTGGCATCATTTACACAAAGTTTAGTTTAAATTGGGATCAAGCTGAAGTCTTCACCACAGGGCACCAACAGCGCCAGCTCTATCCCTTTCTAGCGCCAGACTCTCTGTGCGTGGTGAATAATTTATTGGTCCTCACCACAGTGGACCACGTCACACACGCACACTTAATCCCGTTGTAATTATTTCTCATCAATGAAGTGTTGGAAATGAATGAAGAATGCTGCTGGTTCAATGCCAGTGAAACATAAGCTTGTAAAATGTTATTAAATATAATATATATTTTACGTTTTAAAGCACAATAACAAGCTGCAGCTTGTGTCGCACGCACATTAAGTTCGCACTCGCGTGGTTTATTTGTTTGTATATAATTTGTTACCATATAAAATTCGTGTATTTATAAATATGTTGCGGGTGTGTATATAAAATGTGTTCTTGCATTGCATTGTAAAAATTAGCACTAAAATCGCTCGCTGGCTTGTCATGTTTTGCATTTTGCATTTTGATTCAGACGCTTATTCGAACTATAATCTATTAATATGTATTGTGGAAGTGTTGGAAGCACGATTGAAAATGCGAAACGAGCAACAAATGATGTACGAGGACTACAGATTCACGGAAGCACACACAAAGAGAGAAGAGATAAAACGCTGATCGTTTCGCATATTTAAAGGGGTTTACATTTCGAGATGATTTCAAGCGCAAAAGCCACATGGAATTTGCAGGTAGGCACTACAGGTGATCCTTGGAGATTGCACGCAGTCAAGAGGGAGGGCGTGGGAGTCGCTATCATTTGCTTTCGTTGCTGTCCTTGTTGCGCTCCTCGCGTATCCGCTTGAATGCCTCCGTCTTGACAAAGTCCACGGAATTGTAGACCACGCTGCTTGGCACCGGAGCCCGTGCTCCGCCGGCATCCACAGCTGCCAGACGATGGCCAGCTCCTGCGCTGCCACCCTGGGAATAGAGATTGCCCACGCTCATGCTCGAGCGATTGAGAAGCGGCGGCTTGTTGGTCACATCCAGATCAAAGTACTGCAGCTTGTGCTCTGTCTGCGCCGGCATCTGCTGCTGCTTCGGTCCTGCGCCCGAGGAGGTCATCATGGCAGCCGCGGCCGACGCTGTGCGCTGATGTTGCACCGAGAGGCTGCCGGGACTGTTGGGATGCTGGCGATGCTGCTGGCGTGGCAGAGTGCGCGTCTCGTGGAAGTAGGCAGCCACCGCCACCGCCGATGAGTGTAGATCGGTTTCGTGCGGCAGCACCATGGAGAGTGGAGCTCCAGAAGAGCGACGCGATGACGGCGACATGGTGGCCGAAGGGCCAAGCTGCAAATTGAGGAAACGAAAACTTAGAATCGAAATTGAACGAGAAGTTCCTTCAGCCTTACCTTGTACGCATTTGGTTTACATTTGCGATCCACGCTGGGCGGTCCAATCGGCTGGGAGTGCAGCTGAGCGGCGCCCAGTTTGCTGGTTAAATGCTCGACGCCCACCGGTGGCTTGGCCGGGAATTCCTCCGGTGGCTTATCCTCCACGGCCGCTGGAGTGCCGACTGCCTTTGGTTTCAGTTTGCGGTTCACTGGCGGACAGTCCAATTGCTCAATGAAGTCATACCGAAACACGTTTTCCTCCATTTTGGTGGGCGCTGCATTCGTGTAGCAGTGCGTGCGTGGCAGCGTACGCGCACTAGTGGGCGAGGAGGCTGCAATGGTAGCCGGAGTCGGGCAGGCACTGGCTGCCACTGCCACTGGCAGTGCCGCAACGGCACCCGGGTCAGCCGCTGCCATCAAGTTCGGCGTGGAGGCAGCAATGGGATTGCTGTTGTGTGGACTGGTGACCGGTCGCTCGCCCAGCAGCTGGCTGACATTGTAGTAGGGCAGCTGATGTGAGCGTGGAATGTCGTAGCTCTCCTCAATGAAACCAGAATTGGCATTCCTCCGTGCCACAATTGCTGGCGATGTGTTTTCCGTATCCGAAAGCTGCGGCAGATCGCGAGTGATTCTGCAATTGGAGTGAAATTTTAGCTATTTAAATCCTTGGCTGGTTTCTGGCCACTCACTTTTCATTCTCCTTAAAGTCTAGTATGAGATTATTCTTGTTCTTCAGCACCTTGGCCAGTTTCTCCAGTGTGCGATGATCGCCTACGTCTGCCAGCGTGGATGGGGCCTCCAGCTTTGACTGCTTGTCGGGTGGCGGAGCAACGGCTGCACCATCCTCGGGCATTTTGGAGAAACGCTGCGAATAAGTCAGCACAAATGATTCGTTCTCGATGGAACTATCCGAGGGCCGCGTGCTGCGATCTATGAATATTAATTATTAGTTAAACAATTCCGAGTGAGGCTGAGATGATGACTACTTGCCCACATTCTCGCGGAGTGGCAGGGGATGCGCCCACTCATCGTCATCGGTGAAGACGCTCTCCGAGTCCGAGTCGGAGCGTTGTTTGCCAACAGAATTAGCCGCCAGCTGTTGCTGCAAAGAGAACAAAACATTAGTCATTAATCTGACTGGATCTCTCTCTCTCTCTCTCTCTCTGTTTCCACTTACCAAACTCAAGTTGGTTATCTTGGGGGAGTAGGATTGATCGTTGGTCAGGTTTAGGCCAATATTGTTATGACTCCGCGGTGTGTCGTAGAACTTGGGATCCAAATTGTTCAACGGCGTTGTGGGATTGTTGGGTATGACCCCGTCTGGGCCCGGCAGGAACTTGGGGCTGCCCGAGAAGCACTCGCTGATGGGTATGTACGGTCCAGAGGCGGTGCTCAATGCCGGCGATGCCTGCACGCTGCTCTGCTGCTGCTCGGCTGCTGCCTCTGCCAGTGTTTGTTGAGTGAGCACCAGATGCTCCGGCAGCTTTCGCACCACTCCGTTTGCATTGACCGCCAGACGAGCAGCCTGCTGTTGCTGTTGTTGCTGCTCAGCAGCTGCGGCCGCTGCCTGAGCCTGGATCAGGGCACTGTGATTCAAGTAGAGCGCCGTGGCCGGCGAGGGTGGCGGCTGCTGTTGTGCGGCCGATAGCAAGTCTTGCTGATCAAAGTTTCCATCGCAGAGCATTGTCTCCCGATTGCTGTACTCCGTGTTGACATAGACCGAGTCCGAATTGTTGTTGCCTGGATTCTGTGGCATTGGCTGCTGATCAATGACCACAGGACGACGCATCTGTGCAGCTCCGCCCGTTGCCGTAGCCTGAGCGGCGATGGTGCCCGCCGACGAGTGCAACGAAGTTGTGGTTGTATTTTGTGTGGAATTGCTCAGGCCACCGCTGGAGCTGGTGTTCTGCGTGCGATTCTCGTCTGGAAAAGGAACACAAGTCAGACAAGACTTCACTTGGGGGGTCTGTAGAGTGCACTCACCTGTTCCCACGGAGCCTAGTGGCAGCTCATTCGATTGCTTGGTGTCATGCAGGTGACACACCTGACAGATGCAGTTGACCCAGTCCCGCATGTCCGACTCTGTTTCGGCAGCCAGGTAGTACGTGCGCTTCGGCGTCTTGATGTCGAACATGTACTGAAACTTTTGCTTGCGATTCTCCAGCCGCAGGCCGCAGTCCACTTGCTCGCATTGATCCAAATCGATGACGCCCTTCAGCTTGCGGCAATTGTGATCGGTGTAGTATTCAAGGCAGAACTGTTCGGGTATCTCGCCCTGCTTCAGCGTGAACCAGCGTCGCCGCCAGCGCTACGAAACGCACAAGAAACACGAGAATAAGACAAAGCGCTAAAGTTAGTAAACAAATGATGGAAGTAGAGGCGATGGATGGACGGACGTCTATGGGCTATCAGGGGTGCAGCGTTCACTGGCGCCGACTGTCTGTCCGTCCACTACTCGTATCGTATCAAGGGTGAGTAAGCAACGACGCTACTGCTGCTGCTGCCTCTGCTTTTCCGCGAATTATATTTGCATTGACATTTTCTTGGGTAATCAGCGGGCACACAGATACACCCAGATGCACACTCGCCCACAGAGTGCCGTTAAAATGATTGCTAAACAGCTGTATGGTGGAGTGGGAGGTGGAGGTGGGGTCTGTTGGGTTTGTGTCATGGCTAAACTCCAGCTCGGACTTCAGCTTTGTATGTGTATTTGTGGGTGTGTATCTGCTCGTGTTTGCTTGTATGTATGTTTATATTGTAGTCTGTTGAATATCCGAATTTCACGCTTAATTGAATTATAAACAATAAACATAATGCCACACACAAGCAGGCAGCTCCAGAAATTGGCACCCCAGAGAGACGAGACGGCTGTGCGGGAGCTAATTTCCTTGAGGCATATGAAAAGCATTAATATTTTCTTATAAGTACAGTGAAATACAGTAAATAGAAGGTCAGGTCAGAGTCCGGGTCTGCTAGTAGATTTGACTCCCGATCTGCCATGCTGCCCAACCTCTTACTACATATATGCCTTCGCCGTTGCTTTAGTGGGCCGCCTAAAGTGTGTTCCTGGAAGTCTGGGTTCCGTTATAAGTGGTTTCAAATGTACCAACCAACACGCACACATGCGTGCATGCAGGCTTATACACGATACACACAGCACAGCCCCTAGAAATGCCAGTAAACAGAAACAACAATAGCAAGCTGGAAAGACAAGTGCGTCATTGTTTTTTGTTTCTCGTCTCCCTCCCGCCCGTCGCTTTGGTGCGGTGCGTGATGTGATGTGGCTTATCGCCAGTACATCCATATAAAACATATGTACAGACTCCATACATACATTGTGCATACTTTCTACTTGAATAAACTCAACAGGATTAATTTGATTAAACGCAACAGTTGCTGGTAATTTAATACACGAGCGAGCAAACGCCTCTGCGGCGCACATCGAAGCCCAAGCAAAGTAAACATTAAACGAAAGAATTAATTAAGCGTAAATTTAGACCAGCGCCAAAACATGTTCCCACGCCGTAAGCAAACAAACAAACAAAACACACACACACACTTGAATGTACATTCATATGCATGTACATGTATACAGCGCATCGGAAGACGGACGGAGGCTATCGTTCATTTCATTCACATTTTGCAGTTACAATATAAACTGGACACTTGCTCCCTCTGCGGTTTTAGCTTGTTTGCATTTCAATCAATTTCCGCTTCCCCCGGTCACGGCGGCAGCGGCATCAGCCAGTCTGGTCTGCTGCTTATTAATGAATTATTTTATGACAAACAAATGCAGACACAAACAGGAACATACAAACACACAAACACTCGACACACACATAGATGGAGGCACAGAGTAATTGTACAAAAATGCCACTGCGATTAGTTGGCTTTGGTGCGTTTGCTTTTCTGACTCAGTGTAGTAGGAGAGTTGGCAAAAACAATTTCCTCCCGTTGGAGATTGTGGGAACATATCTCTATGATTGGCTGCCGTTTACCGTTAGCTTTTGCGGTTTGCATTTTTATGCACATTTCACTGATCACTTGGTATTCGTATTCGAAGAGTTGGGGGCGGGGGGAAAACTGCTTAAATAGCTTAACTTAACCATCCCGAAGCCCGAACGGAAAGGAGTTGGAGCAAAACGAGTCCATAGGGAAACTTACTGCACGCCAAATTCGTTTTGTTGGTGGCGATTTAATTAGCCACCCTTCGTAGAAAGTGCGATCCATTTTTTCAGCAGCGCAGCGGACAGTGGAAAATATATAAATTATTTTTGTTTTTTTTTCCCCTTCCGCGCACTGACTGAAAGTCAGTGTGACCGGGGACTTATCGATAAGATATACCGAGAGACCCTCGGAAATATACCGAAGTATACTTTTTCATTTTCCAAATAAACTGTAAATACCGTAAAGCTAAAATCATTTTCCTCGACTTTGATCTTCTGTTTAATATTACTAGCTAGCTAGGTCTTTCAGCTTTAAAACTATAATTTTATTCGAATCATCAAACAATTCTTCACAAGACTGGCTGATTTTTATGACTTCTCTTTATTGGATTGATTGCAAATTAGGTCAAAACTAGAAAGGTCAATCAAAATTGTTGCTCATTCCGTGCCAAATGTTGGGGAACAGTGCTGCTCACTTTTCGCAGCATGTTGCCTACCAAAACACTGAAAAGTGCATTATTATGAAAATAACGAACTTAGCCCACTCAGCCCGCTCTATTTAAACAGTCACGAAAATAGTATTTTGTCATCCTATTTACTCTTTACTCACAAACAGCACGACTACAATATCTTTTACCTGATCTGCTGGAAAAGTCTTCAACTTTCAAAACATTCGTACGTAATTAAATACCCACAGGTCGGCAATGGCGTTGATCGTAAATCACATTCGCCTATTTTAATATTCGAATTAATATTACTATCTAGATAGGAATCTCAGCACTTAAAGTATAATTTTAGCGGATAGATAGATCAATTTCCTACAAGATTTACCAACTCTAGATAACTATTGTAAGAGATTGTTTGCAAAATAACGTTTAAGCAAAAACGATCAGAGCACGAGTGTGTATGGAATGAAACTGTTTCTGGACAAACTCAGCGACGAACACAAACATTTTGAAAGAAACGATTATAGCCGACACAATATTGTTGATGCTTTTAAATAAACACACATTTAAGGTTTAGAATATGTTTCTTCGACATATTGATTACTGATTATTGACTGATTATGAATCATTCAATTCAAAGACAAAACAGAAGTTTGCTTACGGCCAGGCCATATTGAAACCATAATTATGAATTGATTCTGTAATAAACACATGGGTAATATTTTTTACAAATAAATTTTATTCCGTCGTGTCAAGTGTATGCTGACAACATACAGATTTTCCATATAGAATTGCATTATCTCAAACAGCGCAACACACAACAACCCTGCCACGCCGATCTCAGACGGAACCTGCTCCACGTCCACGGACAAGAGCTTATTTGTCCTTGCTGTCGCCCTTGCCACCACGAATCCTACCGGTACGACGGGCGGCAATAAGACCGACCTTGCGACCAGCGGATGTGCCTCGCTTGAC